TGTGTGAGTAGACTGATTAACTAAAGTAATCTGAATGTTTAAAAGCAGCCTCAACAGTTAATGACAGGACCAGAAGAGCTGAGGAGCTCCCCAGGCCCTGCCATCACTTTCCTCCCAGAGAAAAAAACACTGTTTTGGACATTAAACTGTTGATGGCCTGCTGTTTTAACATTCAGATTACTTTAGTTAACAGTCTACTCACACAATAAAGCGGTTCTTTTATGTTTATATCCTGTTTAAAGCCTTTTTTATTGCATGTAGTATTAATTAAACAACTTAGTATGTTTTTCTATAGTCGGCCTATAAATGTTGCATTGGCTTGTGTGTTCAGTGCTATATTTACCATCTTCACCCTAAAGTCATAAACTGGCAAACGGCATCTTTTATGATATTATCAACATCAACGTAATATTACTTGTATTTGATTATATCTCTGTTTATTACTGCTCCGCATGTTCTGCCTTAGTGGTCAGTGTATTGTGGCTGTTTGTCTGCTTCATTGTTGCTGGATACAGTGATGTGGCCAAATGTTTGGTGCTATGTTGCTCTGCATGTCTTGTTTGTGTTCTTGGACCAAGGATGTTAGAAAATCAAGAATAATGAACATGTGATTTAAAAAAAAAAAAAAAAAAAAAAAAAAAGTTTATAAGCATTTACTAAACAGTAATAGTATAAAGCCGCAATAAAAACCTGTCTTAAAAAAGGATCTTTTTGAATAGATTAAAAACACAAGACAAAAAAAAAAGTTTTGAAATCTAGTTTGGTTCAACACGCAATCTCTTTCCCCTACATTCAAAAGCCTATCAGTTTAAAGAATGAAAAGTCGCAGGCAGACAACAAAAGCATGTGTACTTTATTAATTGGGAAAATTGCTCAGTATTGCATCATGATTTATCACTAAAAGCAAAATATACCATTACTGAATATGTCATTAAAATTAAAACAGTTAACCATAAACATGTTTATGGCTGCATTCATTAAAAATGAAGTCTGATGAAGAGAAGGTTGGAACAATGCTGAGCAGCTCAGGCAGTGAGGTCATGTTTGTGAGGCAGCGTGCAGCATCTTGTCGCATGTATAAAGACAACAGAATAACACAATGCTGCACAACAGTTGCTTAGCAACCTTGGCCTGGTCAGCGTCTAAAGTGGCAGAAAGCAGCGGTTCACCCCAACATGGAGTCAGATGTCTGCTGCTCAGATCCGTCTGACAGGACACACTACTGTAACAGTACAGTAACCACTTTTTTCAGTTTTCCGTTTACCAGCAGAACACAAACAACACAAACAACTTAAATTTTACTGCTTATATTCAAAAACCAAAATATAACAGGATTATTTCATTTTTACGTGTAGCAGGGATCAAATACAAACGGGAATACAAGTTTTTTTCTCTCTGTTTCTTAAGATATTTCTAGTTGCTAAATCTCACAGACACAATCAAACTAAGAAACCTTTGTCATTTTAGATTCTGCTCTTCAGCTCATTATAATTCAGTGACCAAAACTGCCTTTTATCACTTATACATAGAGAAGATGAGACCTCTACTGAGCCAGCAAGAAGCTGAAAAGCTTTTGTTTCCAAAAGCATGAACAAGCAGCCAAGACTCTCCAGAATGCTGCTGCCAGTGTTTTTAACAAAAACTAACATGAGAGATGATGCAACCGGCTCCCTGTATCTTTTAGAATTGATTTTAAAGTTTTTCTCCTTGTTTTTAAGACACTAAATGGCCTCGCCCGCTCTTATATCACAGACTCCCTGTTGTTCTATGATCCTCCACAGCTGCACGTTTAACTATATCCCCAAGGTCGCCACAAAAACCTTTATAGCCACTATACCCCAAAAATATGGAAGACTGCCTTTAAATATTGGACTCGTTGACTCAGTGGATAGTATTAAACCACATCTCAAAACATACCTTTTTCATAGCCTATAACTAACAGCTGTCTGCTTTAAACTGTCTAAAGTAACTGTGTTAATGCCATTTTATAAATAGTAACACTCAGTGTCTCTCCTCCTCTTCGTGTGTGTGTTAGGTTCTCAACCTGTGTTTTGTTTTTGCAGCTGAATTGTAAAGCGCTTTGTGTGTATGAAGGTGCTATATAAATAAAGTTTGTTCACTCATTTATTCAAGAGTAGGCTACAACTTCATTCCCCTCAGTATGATTTACAATTTGTAAACCAAAACATAAGGTGACGGATTTTCAGAGACTGTACTGTAAAAAAAAAACGAGCCCATATGTCGTTAGTGCAGCAACTTATTAGGACCTATAGTTACGTTTCATTGTCAGGCGACACCTAGTGGCCATCGTAATTATGACAGGAGCAAGGGAAGATTTTCATGGGAGATATTCCTCCACACCGGCGACAGCCAGAGACAGAGGCATATTGTTTTGGGGTTGTCTGTCCGTCTCATTCCCGTGGACACGATATCTCAGTAACACCTGGATGGAACTTCTTCAAGTCTGGCACAAACATTCACTTGGACTCAAGGACAAACTGATTAGATTTTGGTGGCTAAAGGTCAAAGGTCAAGGTTAGTGTGACCTCACAAAACACTTTTTAGCCATCTTCACAGCAATTAAAAAGTTTCACACAAATGGTTCATATTTTATATGACAGGGATGTGATCTGAAACTAGTCTGAGTGGAGGAGGCAGACAACTGCGAGGTGGTTATTCTAGTTATTATCGTAACCATGACAACAAAGGTCCGCTAACCTCATGGAGGTCTTTATCTAAATCTAACCGACCCATCACTGATCCATAAGCTTAGTTGCCTGTTGAGTATTTTAACTGTGGTGACAAAGGCGTGGTACATCGCTGTTGGTACACTCTGCGTGTTTATTACTGTAACCATGACAACCAAGGTCCAGTACATTTATGTTTTGTTGATTTCTGACTTTTCACCCAACGTGTATGTGTAAGACTATGTAAGTGAGACTACATAGAGAGAGAGAGTGAAAACAGAAAAAAGAACATGTCAAATCAAAGAGTTAAATACAAGAATATTAATACTTTCTTTCAACTATTCGAAAAAAAATACAAATTGGCAAATATGTGCATTGTAGTGTGTCAGAGCATAACTGTCTAAAGTTTTTTAAAAATTGACATGTTATGACTTTTGAACATTAGTGCTGTCAAACTAATGGCAGCACTCAACCAGCAGTAGGATGTGAATGGAGTGAATTAGAATGAAGACTGACTCCAGATCAGACAATGTGGACAGAATACACATCATCCACACCTTCATCAACACCTTCCTGCTCTGCCCTCTGGTCTGAGGCAGCAGTTTTACAGAATGGTTAGACTGCCACCCTGAGGCCGCAGGCACAAACTGCATATTACCCATGCACTGGCACTACTTATGACTTCAGCTAAGGTAATAATTAGTCACAGTACTAAAGTAAAAACCAGTCTTTACCTCTTGAAAGTGAAGATTGGATTTCAGGAAACCAGTCCTGCCTTTCTCCACGTGTCTGAAGTAGAAACACCAACATTAAACCAGCACAGGAGTTTTATAGGTGAATTTTAGAGCTCGGCTGGGTAAGCCAGTCTTAAAGAGGTATCCAGTCACCCTGACCACAGAGGGATCAGTCACTGTGTATATACAATATGTAACAGAGTGGACAGATAGTCTAGATAGTGGTGTGTCTCAATAACTAATGGATGGATTGTGGTGAAACTAAAAACGGATGACCATGGTGTCTGGAGGATGAACTGTAAAGACTTTGGTGGTCCTCTGACTTTTCCTCTAGCATCACCAGCGGGTCACACTTCTCATTTATCTTGTTAAATATTTACTGGATGGATTGGCACAAAGTGTGCAGACATTCTTGATCCTCAGGCATTGAATCCTACTAATGTTGGTGATCCTCTGACTTTTCCTCCAGTGCCACCATGAGGTCAACATTTCTGTTTGTCCAGCACTTGGCAGCTTTATGAGGTGAACATTGTAAACATGATACCTTCTTAACATTAACATGTTAGCACTGTCATTGAAGGCATGTTAGCTTACCAAGTGACAGCTGAAAGCACTGTCTGTTTCTGAGGAGCCCGCTGCCTCACAAGGTTTCTGGCATAAAGCCACATGGAAAAGCAAGTATGATTATATCATACAAACTTAACTAGTTTCATTATGCAAGTTACAAACTTTGCCAGGCCTCCAGTCAGTAGATGGCAGCACTGTCATTAAAGTGGCACTTCTTCTTTCTTTTCAGTATGAGAGCCAGAAAATCCAGAAAGAAAGCAGAGGGAACTTCCATCCTGTTATCTACAGGGACACCGTGGGTCTGGAGGAGGGGACTGGAAGAGGAGTCAGGGTGGACGACATCAAACTGGCCACGATGGGAAATGTGGAGGAGGGTTACAAGGTACAACTGTCACTATTACCTTGAACATATGTTAAGAATTGCCTGCTTCTTAAAGTTAAGCTGAAATTTGAATCTAAAAGAATTCAATCAACAAAACACTAGGATCCAGAGCAGCAGAGTTCAGCAACGAAGGCTCAGACGGCTGGATCCTTTGTGGTCAAACCTATCCCAAGATTCATTGTGCCGGTAATGAAAGCAAACAGCACTGACAGAGAGCCACTTTTAAATATAAGTATTGTTTTCTAGCTCAGTTCAACAGCTAACGCTATGACTGTTAAAGCCAAGAGCCTGAAAACCTCAAGTTTTAGTGACAAAAAGTTATGTGTTGTTAAGGTTGCTAGGCGATATTAGCTGCACTTTGCAACTCAACAGTAACAGCCAGCACAGCTGGAGACACAGCATAAATCATCTGTAGCTACCGTCTCATTTCAGAATAGCCTTTGTGAAATACGTCTACTAAAAGCCACATCCTCGTAGACTGCGTCCTCTGAAGGATGCAGTTTATATGTCAGATTTTAATCCAGCATCTGTTACATGAACACCTGCTATGAGGAGGAGCTGTTTGCAGATGATGGTGCAGTTTTCTTCAGAAGTTAGAACAACAAAAACATACAAATTATCTTTGATTTTTTTATTTATACTCAATACATCATGATCAGAAATCAATAAAATTAACTTGTTTATATTATTTTATATTTGTCTGATTATATTGTTGATTATTAAGACTAAGATACGTTACAAATACAGTCAAATTGTCACTTCATTATGAACTGTACTGTGTTGTCTTTAAGTGGAGCTGTAATAAAAGTGAAGATACAACACTCAAATACTTGTATTTAAAGACTCTGATCACAAATCTTGTGAATGAAGTCGTCTCCGATGTCGACTATCAGCCTCAGAACGCTCAGGATCAGAGTGTTGACATTCTCATCAATGGAGATTTCTTCACTGTAGTTCTTCACAGGAAAGATGCAGTTCATTGGAATCCCCAGAGATGAGCTGAAATCTTTCATCTAAGTTGGAAGGAAACAAAAGTTCAGTTCAGTGCTGACATCCACAGGGTTTTTAGCTCATATTCTAAAGTAGATTGTAAAGCTAAACTGAACTTATTGTACTCATTAGAAGACTGACAGTAACTTGCCTTTTTCTTCATGTACTTGCTCTTGTAGACGTTCTTCAGATCCTTTTCAGTTTCACCGCAGGCCTCATCAACTTTGGTGACAATAGCCACTTGGGGAATTCCTGCACATAGAGAGGTTAATTAATTATGAGTTGATATTTCTCTGGCAGTTTGATTTTGTCCAAAGATTCTAACACAACACTCAACACATGAGGGGTGTTCATGAAAAGAGGCGTGCGGCATAAAGTCTAACTTCTACTAACTTGTTGAACTCAGTTCATTCATATTTATGCCCAAAAATCCATCTCCAACATGAATCAGTTCTTTTTAGGTGTAGTGTGGCCTTTATGCTACAGTACACAGTGTACCAATGGATGTACAACTGTCACTGGATCACTGTGATACTGAAGAAAACTTAAAAACATGAGGATTCTCAGACAGTTTCTGCAGTAATTGGGGTTTTTGGATGTGTCATTTGCAATGGACACAACAACTGATGTTATCCCCTAGAAGTGTTTGTGATTCACAGTGAATCTAAAAGTGTGATGTATCATGTCTGTGTTCAGATTCGACTGAGTTATGACTCGGAGAAGGATTGTGATTATAGACAGAAATTTCAACAATTGGATGCTAACCCAATTTAAGGAATCATTGTCAAATATGCTATATGTCTTTAGTAGGGATGCCTGATCATGTATTTTTGCTGCCAATATAAGTCATTGAAAAAGCATTGTCAGTAGATTCTTTTTAATAATGAGCATCTCTGCCTTTTCCGTCATGAGCCTGTTCCTGTGTTCATCCATGATGCTGAACTAGTGCTCACTCTCCACACTTGTGCAGGTGCAGACAGGTCAGCTCTTGTGTCGCGTGTTGACACCGTGAACAGGTGGGAGGCGGGACTAAACTACCCAGTACACAGTTCTTCTCAGCCACAGACAACAGAGTATTAACCTCAGGTGATTGGTTTTAAGGTGATCGCTGACTAGAAGCATTAATTCTTAACTACCGATCACATGTTTTTAATGAAAACCTGCCAATAATGATCTGCAACTGATCAATCGGGGCATCTCTAGTCTTTAGATTATCAGCAGATATATCATTATCAGATACTTTTAAAACTTATGTTATGATGTTATAATGGTGCATGCATCATATATCCATATACTGTTGAACTGTCAACTTCCTTCATTCTGCCACTCTTACCCAAGTCGCTGGCTGCCTCTCTGATTTCCTTCATCTTCATCAGAACCGGGTCATTAATTTTTGCTGAATTAGCAGAATAGACACAAACCAGAACGTGAACTCTGTCATCTAAAGAGGGTGAAGGGTTGAAGCCTAGATCACCACTGGACAACGAAGACGCTGGATTGAACTGGAAAATAATGTAAAAATCCAAATAAATAATGACACATGAACATATACGGTCTGTACTATGAACAAAAAGGTTCATATCTACTGTGACCCAAACTGTTTGGAGGCACTCCCATAGTCAGCTATGAGGCCCCCGAGGTCTGGACCTCAGTCTTTCTTCCCTCTCAGGCTGATGTCAGCACTGGCTAACATGAGAAGCTGCAGCTGATGCTTTGCTAATGATTATTATTGTTGGAGCTTAATGAACCTGTGTATCTTTACCTCAGAGTCTGAACTCAGTCACTCACTGCTGCAGTCCTGTATGTTACCAGGAACAATTAATTACTGTGTAAATGTCCCTGGGCCTGCTAGGGCTGGGTATTGACACTGATTTCCTGAATCGATTTGATTCAGTCTGAGATTTCTCAGTTACATCAGTTTTTCTTGGATATGAATGAGATTCTCAGAGAACTGACGCTGTAAATTGTTCCTCTAACCTGGTGCTTTATTAAAAACATTAATGTTTACATTACGAATGGACACGGAGCAGTTACATTAATGCACTGTCTATTTAACACGACCAAGAGTTCAGACACAAGAAATAATAGATGTAAAATGTGTTGTTAATGTACTGAGTGCACCGGCTACACTGTGTATGAGCAGCTACACACAGCTTCCTCTTCACATCTCACATACAGCTTTGCTTTTGTTCAGCTCTTCACTGTCTTCATAGTTTTAAATCTGAAATGCAGCCACTCATCTGTCTTTAGACTTGCTGCTGACTTCATTGACCTCACCTCTCACTTCAATACACCTTCAATGTCAATTTGAAAACTTGAATGAAAACCATTTGATTTGTTTTTCTTAGCTCTACACATGACACACGTGATGTTCGGATCTTCAAGCGCTTAAAAATCGGTCCTGTTTTGTGTCTTATTAATCTTGTTTTGAATACTAAAAAAAACTTTAACTTAATGTTTCTTTATGTCTATATACCAGTGTATTTGAACTTTATAAGTTGGAAAATGACTGGATATAAAACTGGATATTTTATTTCATCACTTTGAGAAAGAATAGTTGCGGAGCGTCGTTCCAGCTGCTCTGGCAGCTCTACCTATACTCACCTGACCAGATCTCTTTGTGACAGCTTCACACATCCATAGCAGAGTGTAAAAGACGTACAGTATATTAAAAGATCGATCTCGGGTTGTACGAATCGATAACGGATTATTCAACTGAAGATCAATTTAAATCGGAGAATGTATTTTTTCAACCCAGCCCTAGTGCCTACGTGGTTTCTCTCCAGGTTCTCCGGCTTCCTCCCACAGTCCAAAGACATGCACATTAGGTTAATTGGCGACTAAAAAAGTGCCCATAGGTGTGAATGTGTGAGTGACTAGATGTTTGTCTCTTTATGTCAGCCCTGTGAAAGACTGGCGACCTGTATAGGCTGTACCCCGCCCTCGCCCAGTGTCAGCTGGGTTGCCTGCACCCCTCTGCAACCCTATAAGGATAAGCAGTATAGCTAATGGATGGATGGATGTTCTTAGTTACAGCTCGATGAAAAACAGATCACTAAACACACCTGTTTTACTGAACAAAGGTAACGGTGTGACAGTTGTACCTTGTATCCCTCCTTCAAGTGTCCCTTCATGGCCAGTTTGATGTCGTCCGCCCTGACTCCTCCTCCAGTCTTCTCCTCCAGACCCATGATGTCATTGAAGACAACAGGGTAGAAGTTCCCTCTGCTTCCTTTCTGGATTTTATGGGTTTCATACTGAAAGACACGTGGATAAAATGTGAAGAAATAATGACAATGGTCTTGTTTTTACTTCTCATCACGGCCCTGTTGAATCATAGAAAACATTTAAGTTAACATGCAACCAGAATGGACAGGATGGACTTTATTAGTCCAAGGAGCAAAGTTGCTCCTCAACTGAAATTTATATGGACAAAGTCTCAAAGTTTGGTGAAAAGGCATGACAATAAAAGTCATGCTTAAATTGTACAACTTGTTATTCCACTGGCCTGTCTATTTTGAGTCTATTTCCAACTGGTACTAATGTGATCTGTTTCTGGGAATGAAGGAAAAACACAGGTGTAAATGCAGAGTAGAAGCTGAGCAGTAAGATAAAGTTTAGTTTCAGATCCAACACCAAATTATATCAAGGCCAGTGTCACTGATATTGATACCAACAGTTTTTCTTTTTATAATTAAAAGCTGCTACAGCTGTACAATCATAATTTTGGGTTTAATGCGTCCTTAATGTGCTTCTACATACATTGTCATATTCAGTGAGTGATTGCAAAATGTTAGGCAGGTGAACTCTTACTGTTGTTATTGATACCCAGAACAACACCAGTCTTTGTAGTGTTGACACTGGGGTTTTCAATTTACCCATGTCTAATACATGCACAGGTCATGGCATTCATGAGCTCACTGTGATGTTAAGAACTATATGTAAGTATATAGAGGTACATGTAATGTTGAAATGTGTTACTGAAAGATGAAGCATGTAATTAACTAACGTGTAAATGCAAAGTGATTGAGGAACAGACTGCATGTTAATACCAAGTGGAGAATTGGTCTCATTTCAAGAGTCCTGTATGTCAAGTGAAGAACAAGGTGAAGAAGATGAGTAACCCACTGTTTTCAGTGAGTTTACTTACCTTCTTGGTATGACTTTGGTCAGAGGTGGTTGCACTGACTCCAGCTGGTTGGGTCGTTCTCCCTACTAAGACGCTGCTGACAGAGTTGATGAAGCTGGACTTTCCAGTACCAACGGGCCCATAGAGCAAAACTCTGAGGTGTCTGACGTCATCAATTTCAGGTTGATAATCCTTCACATACTTCAGATCCTCTTCGTTATGTCTGTTAAAATAAGATATAGATAAAGTTTTAACCAGACTGCAGCCATGCTAGCAGCTCTGTGAGGCTGCATAGAGGCACAGCTGTGCTCTGAGCTAAATGCTAAGTTTAGCATGGTACCAAGTTCACAGTGACAAGGCCATCATGTTGATGTTTAGCAGAAATAGTCTAGATCCTGTTCACCACCGTAGTTTAGCTTGTTAGCATGCCCACATTTACTAATAAGCAGTAAACACACCATACAGCTGAGGCTGACGGGAATATGATTATTTCTGCAGGTATGTGATCAGAAACCAAAGTAGTGGACACATTACAATAAGACCTGATGGTGGCGCTAGAGGAAAAGTCAGAGGATCACCACATTATTACAGTTCACCCTGAGGGGACCATGAATGTGTGAACCACATTTCATCACAATCCATCCAATAGATGTCGAGATATTTCAGTTCAGTGCCGTCAAGCTGAGGAACACATCAAAGCTAGTGTCACCATGTGGACAATTTACATGTACTCACCCCCAAGATACTTTTCTCCATGGATCTCTAAAAGCTGACAAGAAAATAGTGTTAGAAGTAATTTAGTGTTAGTTGTGAGTATTTGATGCAAGGACATGTCAAACTGTGAATAATGTTCTACCATTGAATTGATGACTTACTGGGAGAAGGGGGTGGAGTAGGGGGTGGAGTAGGAGGTTCTAGAGAGTAACACAGAGACAGTCATTTGAGGAAGTAGAAGAAGACTTTTCTCCTGGTAATAAAACCAAACATTAACAGAAATAGAAAAACAAACAATATTATAGAGTACAGAGATAACTTATGATTTAGGTCTATATAAATAAAATTGAATAGAATTGACTGACACACACACACACACACACACACACACACACACTCACACACAGGTAGCAATTGTATGCGTTCTTTATTTTGGACCGGGAGCAGCAGGGCACCACACTACAGCAGCAACACCAGCTCCCTCTGACCCAGGACTGTAGTGGAGGCTAACGCACATTAACACTCATCATCATCATCATGAAGGTATAAAGACATGTCAACCTGTTAATGATGAACAGAATTAATGTTTGTTGATTTGATAACTTACTGCGAGGAGGGGGTGGTGTTGGTTCTAGAAAGTAAAACAGACAGAATCATTTGAGGAAGTAGAAGAACACTTTTTTTTCCATGAAATTAAAATTTTAATTTGTGCAAGAGGAACAGGATCTGGGACCTCCTTTGTCACAATCAAAATCTGTAGATATTTATCTGTTCTGTCTGAAGTTATTCGTAAATGGCTTGTAAAAATCGTAAAACAACATTATTGGCTGAGATACAGGATGTGGCTGTTGTTGAGCTGTTGTGTCAGATCTATGGACAGAGCTGAGAGTCGGTGCGCCTCCATCGTTCTGAACTGGAGCGGAGGAGATCCACAGACAGACACTTAGCCCGGTTTCCTTCCCCCCACTGTAGTGATCCACAGACAGAGGGGAAGGAGAGACGGTCAGTGAGAGAGAAGGAGAGAGGGCTGACCCTGAGTGATGATTGTTAAATGCCAACAAACAATGCTTTGTTTGTGATGACAGTTGTGTTAAGGCGTTGTCCAATGTGCTCCAGACACTCTGGATGTTCTCCTGTGACTCCTCACCCTCTGTGACGTCCTGATTTACAGTTGAGCGCTGATTAAAACCAATCTAGACTCCATTGAGGAAGTAGGTGAGAGGAGGATGTTAGCTAAGCTGACATCCATCATGAACAACAACTCTCACCCCCTGCATGACACTGTAGGGTCTCTGAGTAGCTTCTTCAGCAGCAGACTTTTACATCCTCGCTGTAAGAAGGAGAGGTTCTGCAGGTCCTTCATTCCAGCAGCTGTCAGACTCTAACGTGTGTATTGTGTATATTGTATTTATTGGTGTATATTGGGTGTATATTGGTGTATATTTGGGTTATTTTTGATGTATATTTCCATAGATGTTTATTCCATAGATATTTATTTTCTGCTGTGGTGAGTGAATTTCCCAGTTGTGGGATTAATAAAGTTAATCTAATCTAATCTAATCATGAACAGAAATAGTTCAAACTCCATGGTTACAACAAATATTGCAGAATGTGTTTTATAGACTCACACTGACGATGTTCTACAACATCAGTGTTAAAGTCGATTTATTTACTTCTTTTCTAATGTATTAAACAGGAGAAAACAGTTAGAGTGTTACAGTTAAGGTGAAAGTGCATCTACATTTAACACATCCAAATCCACATTTCTGTATCTGATGAAATAACATTAGACTTCGCCCCTACTGCTCGTACAACAGAGAAAAACTAATTATCATGAGGAAAGTTTGAACTATGCTCTGCAGGTGGTTTCATATTACTTACTTGAGTCACTGCCTCCCATGGCTAGAAAAGGAGAACTGCATATGGACATAAAAACAATTAAATTTAATAAATCATATTTTTTAATATTTAACCCTTCATACATAAAATAAAGTTTCACATTGATCAATCACCACAGTCTGTCTCTTACAGTAACGTAACAATAAACATGGTAGAGAGTTCATACCTTTACTGGGGAGGTGCCACAGCAGAGAGGAGCATCCAGTTATCCTGCTGAAAGAGAACGTAGTCCTTTTATACAGCTGCTTTTTGTTTGATTCACTTTCACTTTCATGAACCATGTGGTTTATGAGAAGACCACCAGTTTCTCAGTTTTCTTGTGAGTCTTTTATCAGTACCTCACAAACACACACACCCACCACTCCCAGACATTATGTCGCTTATCTGTGATTGCATATAGTGAGCAGTTCCCACTCAACATCGGTGGTGTTTATTTTCGACAACAGGGCGCAAGGCCAACACTAACACCAGCTTCCTCTGATCCATGACTGTGGAGGCTAAATACATGTCATTTACACACCACAGTTCTGAAATGGTATCCATGCAGTTCACACGAAGTGTCTATGCACACTTGACATCATGGTGCATCAGAGATGGGCAGTGGAGTTGGTAACTTGTACTTAATGTGCACATGCACTAGACCCCCTACAGTTCACCTACAAAGAACATATTGGAGTGGATGATGCCGTCCTTTACATGCTCCACCCATTCTTACTTGGATGAGCCAGGTAGTTACATGAGGATTATATTCTTTGATTTTTCAAGTGCATTTAACACCATTCAACTCCCCACTCTTAAAGACAAGCTGGAAGGGATGGGGGTGGATCCCTGCTTCATGTCCTAGATTGTGGATTACCTGACAAGACGACCACAGTACGTCAGGCTGGGTAACTGTGTCTCAGGGACAGTGATGAGCAGCACTGGGGCTCCACAGGGGACTGTTCTGGCTCCGTTCCTGTTCACCCTGTATACGGCCGACTTTAAATACAACTCTGAGTCCTGCCACATCTAGAAATACTCAGATCACACAGATATTGTGGTGCGTATCAGAAACGGGCAGGAAGAGGAGTACAAGAATCTGACAATGGCCTTCAGTGAATGGAGCAACAAGAACTGCCTCCTTCTGAACACCTCTAAGACCAAGGAGATGGTCATGGACTTTGGGAGGTCTCGGCCCACCCTTCAGCCAGTCAACATTCGAGGGAAGGACATTGAGGTGTTACACACTTATAAATACCTAGGTGTGCATCTGGACAGTAAACTGGACTGATCCCTGAACACAGATGCCATCTACCTGAAGGGGCGGAGCCGGCTCTTTTTCCTCAGGAAGCTCAGGTCCTTTGACGTCTGCAGTGAAATGCTGCACATGTTTTATCAGTCAGTGGTGGACAGTGAACTCTTTAATGCTGCAGTCTGCTGGAGAAGCAGCATGTCAGACATGAACATGAGGAGACTGGACAAGCTGGTCAAAAAGGCTGCATCTGTGCTGCAGGAGTCTGGACTCACTGAGGACTGTTGTGGAGAGACACATGCAATGTAAGATGGAGGCCAACTTGGACAATACCAACCATCCTCTCCACAACATTCTGGCAGGACAGAGAAGCAGCTACAGCTGCAGCAAACGTCTCATCTCACTGCAGAACAGAGAGGTTCAGGAGATCCTTTGTGCCCACTGCCATCAGGCTATACAACACCTCCGCCAAAGGAAGTGGACTAATCTAATTATTATTATATATTTATTATCAACTGTTTTTATTATTATTATTATTATTATATTATCAACAATGAGCTAATGGACACATGAATTTCTCGTAGGGGATAAATAAAGTATCTATCTATCTATCTATCTATCTATTAGAACAGTTTGATTATCTGTAAAAACAGTGTAATCTGTTAGAACTGTTTAATAATTTGTTAGAACAGTTGAATAAACTGTCAGAGAAGTTCAATAATCTGTTAGAACAGTTTAATAATCCGTTGTCTATACATATTTCCATACCAATAATTTTCCTACCATTTGATCTCAGGGGAGTTTGTAGTTTTCAGACTGGAAGTGACATGGGTGTTAAATTTTGACTTTGTGTTTGTTGAAATTGTTGAGTGATACTGCGATATCTAGATAAGAGGAATAATATCAGGAAGAGGGTGGTGAGTGCATTAGTTAGTGAAGTGGTCATGACAACACTGCTGGATTTCTTATAAATCACGTGGTTTAGTAGAGATAAGGAAAGTGAAAGTGGGAGGCTGCTGTATAAAAGAGCTCCCTCTTTTTCCGCATCCTAACTTGTCCTTTCTCTCTGGTCCAGCCACACCTCAGTGAAGGTAAGGATCCAGATTAATTGACAGTCTCTGTTTAAGGGCTGTTATCTTTAGTCTTGATCATGTGTCTGTGGGGTAGGGGGGTCTCTCAGTATGATGTGTACATGGGTCTTTGTCTTGCTTTTTTGTTCCACTTTGAATCTCATTTGTATTAAATGGTGCAAATTGCATAAATGTTAAAATAACATAATGGTGTTGTCCAAAGAAACAATTAAATACAAGTTTAATAAGATATGGACCAGCTGACCAGCTTTACTCACCACTGACCTTTCGCTTTGCATTTTATTAAAGTAAATTTAGGACCTTTTATTCACATCTCCCACTACACAGTTATTTTTATTCTACTGTTTTATTCTATATTGATTTGTTTTATTTTACTGTTTTTAAATCTCATAAGTATGTTTTTTTATATTGCCTTGTGACTTTAATGCTTTTAATGTTTTATGTGAAGAACAATGAAATCCCTTGTTGCAGAGACACAAAGATCAATCCCTGGATTTTAATAACTAATAATGGATTGATCATGTCAAATGCAGTTAATCAACTACAGTCACTGGTAATGTTTGATCATAGATTCTTCCTAACAACAAATTAAAACACCACCATTCCCTTGGTGCAGTAGCATCACACATTTAACTGCTACATCTGAACTCACTGTCCAACATGAGTCTCAAGGCAAACAAGAGGAAGGTCAAAATAAAATGCTGTTAGTTTACATGTTGGTTCCATGTGTGTCGCTGCATTCTTTATGTTTTATGTTTCAGATGAGCAATAACCAGCATTATTCCTCCAGCAAGTCCATTCAACATGTCAAAGAAGAACCTGATGCTGGTATGTACAAACTGGTTAGTGGTACTACCCTTATAAAGGATTTATAAATGGTTTATAATTAGGTTATTAATCCAGTTAACACTTTATAAACCTTAAATAAACAATTACAAACAAGTTATAACAGTTTTCATACATTGATGCAGCTCACTATTTGTCAAGATCGAGTTAATGCTTACTACTCATTAATCTGACTAATGAGTTACTACCACACATGTACCTCGTACCTGTGTGGGTTTCCTCTGGTCACTCTGACTTCCATCCAAACAGGTTAATTGACACAACTGCTACAAAAAAAATAAAAATGCTTTCTTGAAAGACAATTCAAGTTTTTCATGATCATCCAGCCAGAAGAAATTCTACGGTGGCATCCTCTAAGTGAGTCTCAGCTGATGTAAATCTGAAGAACACTGTCTCCATCCTTCTGCTCCGTTCACTGTTTTCCCTCCTGTGTTTTGTAGGATGGAGAAGGACAGTGAAGGTCCACACAGTCACTACAGGGGAAACCTTTGGTGCTGATGAAGCTCTGATGAAGCAAGTGACAGCACATGTGCAGAGGACAAACAGGGAGGATTGCCATGTGGTTGTTCTCTTCTGTCCAATCAACTCTCGTGTTGGTTCAGATGTGGAAGCTGCCATGACTCGAGTGTCAGGTAACACACAGACCTGTTTTCAGCTCAGTCATATTGTGCTAACTGTGTTACAGTTTCTTGTTGATTTGTCAATGATATGAACATTTCTCTGTATATCTAAGTAAGTACTTCAGTTCTCTACATAATAATTCACAGTCTGACTTAATGAGCTGAAAAATCTGAAGTCTGTTTTTAAAAAAAGGACGTCAGATAATGAGGAGAGCGTCCTCCTCTGCAGGTTCCTCCTCCTCATATTTCTCTCCTTCCTTCTGATGTCAGCAGGTGATGAAAAAGTCATTCTGGTGCTGATGCATCACACCCGAGATGTCGACTACTCAACCTCTGTGAGAAACTGGTCTGAAAACTATCAGCACGTCATCATGACTGTTGATGTTCTTTTCCACGAGACTAAGCCAGGATTACTGACATGTCAAACAAACAAGGAGGCAGTCCATAAAATACAGAACATGTTACATCACAGTAGCACTACTGAGAAGAAAAGTAGATGTCATATCAGTTAGTCAGAGCTGGTGACATTGACACTGGAAGTTCTGGTGGGGTTTACCTGGAGTGGCTCCAGAAAAATTAAAGCAGTCAGATTTAATGTTTAAATAATCACCATATTGCAAACTTCTACTGTACATCACAAATATAATGTGTAGTTGTAGTCACACACTTATAAGTCTTTATGAAAACTTGAAATGAAAATGTCTAAAAAACCATTGAATTACAATAAAACTGCTGAAATTAAAGTGAATGATAAAAATAAGATTTCACAGTAATGACTTCTATCTTGTTCTTTCACACATTGTTGGTTCTTTTCTATTTATTTTTACACATTTGTTAATTTATTCTTTTTATTCAATAGATATTAAACACTATGTTTTCAAACCATAATGTGTTTTTTTTAAATGTTTTTTAGTATGTCACTAACCATTTTCTAAAGCATGCTGTAATAGTTTTCATTTTTAAATGTTTTTGACAACTTCCTGCCAAAACTCAGATGACGACTGGACCACGTGTACTATTTCATATTATTAATCAGTTTTTATTATTATTATTTTACTAGAACAATGTTATGATGTACTCATACTACACCGTATTGTCACTATAATATATTGATAACACTATACTGCTGTACGATACTGTGACAAACAAATTCATGGTAAAGTATGTCAATAAGTGTAATAGTATGGTAAGGCATAACAAATGTCATACTATGGTTTGTATGTCATGAATGCAATATGGTATAATAAGTCATAGAGATGGTCATAATACAACACGCTGTAAAAGTGTCATAGTATAGTAAGTCATACAAAATGTCATGTGAGTGTGATGGTCCCTGCCTGAATGTAGTTGTTGTGGACAGTTGCTGCACTTCTGTGTCCTGGAGGGGAAACAGAAGGAGGTGATCACATCAGCCAGATGTGGAGGACCTGGGCTGCGTGCTTCTTTGACACAAAGGCACAGACTCACATCGTTCTTCCCTCTCTCACCTGGACTCATTCCTGTCAGCGCCAACATGCTTT